TTTTTATTTTCAAGTCAACATCACCGGCGACGTTTTATGTGTCGGCGTAAATCTGTACTCTCGTGTGAAACGCGAAAAATTGCGTTAGTATTTTGTTGAATGATGCTTACGGGCTGATCTAATGCTGACATAGTGCGAGACTAATTTTCAAGATTACATCGATCCTTCCTCTAAAGGAGACGTTTACGGCCGCGTTGTTAACAAGAGGAGCTTAAGTAATAAAATATATTTAATATATTACCGTATATATATTTTAATGATAAAAAATGATAGAAATATCTTTCATCCAGTTTGCAAATTTCTAAAAATTTGTCACGATGATCAAACAATATTAGAAAATAGTTGCTATTACAAGAATTATTCATTGAATTATTCCGCCGCTTTACGGCAAGCGACAATTACGCGACAAATATAATCCCTTATCGTCTTTCAAAGTGCAACCGAGAATTCCGGCACGCGGAACCTCGGTATGAATTGCGGCGTACAATTAGCCGGTTAACTAGCAATTAGCAAAGGAAGCTTGTATCTCACTTCGAAATATCGCGGCGGCAACCGCGATGGAAACAATATTTGTCTTTGATTACCTTAGTGGTGTTTACATAACGGAGTAAATAATACCAATTCCATTGAACGCGCGCGCTCTCGCGCTATATCGATTACATCTCTCCGTTCAATTGCGCGCTCGAAAAGGTACCCCGTACTCTTCGCAATTCCGACGCTAATTACCGAATTACCACTCGAATTAAGACCCATTACGTATGATTGGCCCACTTATCGACCGTCGAAGAACCAACGGCGCGACAACGCGAGCCATTACGTTTCCGAGTTAATACGCGAGACGGAGAGTGCTTCTTAATTCCCTCCGGCTTAAATTATTGATCAATCGAACGAGTGGTAATCCATTCATTTCCAGTTAATTTACATTTATTCGATAGGTAAACATTGTTAAAAGAACGAGTATAATTTGCAATTTAATGCGTCGAGTAATATTCCGGAATTATAGAGAGATGGATCGGGGTGGGGTTTGAATTTTTCATTCTGAGACAGATTTTATTATTCGCGGTATATACATGAGTTTTGATTACATTCAATTAATAGCTAATGGTGTTCTTCGATATTGCCAGGCTTGTACACAATGTACAAAATTGCGGTTTAAATTTAGACGAAATGTTGAATGTTTTATATTGAACAAAAAGAGAGAACACAACTTAATTTAAATATTACGCTTTGAGAGAGATATATAATATCACTAAACTGACAATATTACACACATTTTCTATACTTAAAAAATTTAACAACTATTTATTATTTTTCCTCATATTGACAAAAAAGAATATAAATACAAAACAATACGTTATATCGCAAATATAAATGTAAATAAAAATATGTTAATATTTTATATGGATATTAAAACAATTCATATGATTCGATATACTTGTTTTTTTTTTTCATAATTTTTTTATACCCACAGTTTATCTTTCTCAGAATATAAACAAAATACGGGAAGCAAAAATTATATCGTACAATACATGGTATCAAAAAATTCTCCATCTCTCTGGGCAATATATAAAATTCATATTTCGAGAATAAGATCTAGCTAGAAATTCCAGCTGCAATTTCTAAATAACCTATCATCTCGTGAAAAGAGTACCTGCGGATAAAAGCGCTTCGGAGTTCTCTCTTGGTAAATATAGACTCGGGCTGAAAGGGTTAGAATCAGCCGTCGATTTATGATCGGGGCACTTGCCGCCTTTTACATACGTCGCGACAGAAACACGGCGCGCGAATGAAAGGCGCAACCGCGCGCGCGGTACGTTGAGGCGAAGGCGAAGTGGTCGATAATTTCGGCGGTGAAATTCTCGAAGGCTTCGTAACGACTTTCATCCGGCGCGGCTGAATAACTATGCAAATGCACCCCATCCTGTAGCCCCTTTAGAGCTTTAAGCGGGGCCGATGCCCGGCCCGGAGGAAACTCGGGGGCCCGCAAAAGCGACCGCACGCACGGTCAAGATTGACCTTTCGCTATATGGACGTACATTGTGAACCGGAGTAACGAGATCCTCGCACATTTCCCGCGGATATCAAATTGTCATCCGAACCGACGACTCGCCCGCCGAAGCTTTGTTTTCCGCCTCTTCGGAGACTGCGCGTTTAAAAAACGCACTTTACTTTAAACACGCTATTTTTACCCTTCGTTAATATCTCTAGCGAGGAACGCGCTCTTCAAGTATCACTTTTCCATTCGTTCTCGTATTACATGTATATGTATAGATAAAAAAAGAGGAGGAAGGTATCTTCTTGTATTTGCGATTTTTATATCTGTACCGTCGACTTTAACAGAAAGTTAGTCTACTGATACGATAATAAGGGAATTTTATTTTTATGTTTAAATTACAAAACAGATGGAAATAGTGAATGAGATGAATTGCAGTTAGACTCGAGTTACACAACTGGTTAAATGATTAGTATTGATTAAATCAAACGGTATTAGATATAATATAAAATCAAAATTACATTCGCGAGACTTGACGAAAATGATTGACCTAAATCTGACACTTCTGCACTATATATACGTCTGCAATAGCATATAAAATGTTCAGAAGCCGACGGAGTCCAAGTCTCGCAATTAATCGCGGCGTCGTAACGACTTTTCGTATCGAAAATCATTTCGGGCTGTCCAAGCTGCGCCATAAAATATTTAAACCGCGAGAGCGAACCGAGCCGCATTGCAGATATATAGATAATCATAATCCATCTTTAACTCCAACCCGCTTCCAGCGATAGCATTGATGTCACGTCGCGAAAATAGAATTCGCGAATTAGCCCGAAGTTGTCTCAATAATATATCGTCAATCTCTCTCTGTATATTGGTCCGAATCTTCGTACATGCCCTGTCACGCACGTGTGTATATATGCACACGCGCAGATACATGCATAACAGCACATATACGGAGCCGAAACGGTAGTCTCTCACAAGCCCGTATCCATCGCCGTTAAATTAATAACCGTGCTACATCCGCATGTACCGAACTCCTCCGAAATATCGCCCGACGCCCTCCGGGGGCCCCGTCCATCCGAGTGTCGCCTCTTCTCCGGTCCATATCTCCCTCTCCCGCCATACAATCCACCATATATCCCGCATATGGCTCTCGCGTGCACGCGCCACGCGAAATACGTGCGGGTGACGAGCGGAATTCAGAATTCCGTATGTGCGAGATGTTACTCGCTCCACGCCGTTCCCGCAGAGCGCGGAAAGCGAGAGAGAGAGAGAGAGAGACCCGCGTGGTCCAGCCAAGGGGGAATCACAATGCCAAAGCGAGCCCGTATCGTCGTCAGGCCGGCCGACACGACCGATAACAGTCAATGCGCTAAATGCATCGGAATTGAATCTGGTCGATTCATTTTCGCGCCAACCCGGCCCGGACTGGCCCGATTCGTTCTCGCCTGTCGCCTTTTAATATTTGCCCGAATGAAAAAAATCTGTTCTCCTGAAGTCTGAATAGCGAGCGGAGCAAAATCATATAGTCAAGCTGATATTATTTATGCCGACTAGAGTTTCTTTCTCGAGAGAATTCCTTGGGCAGAATTAATTTCAAATTAAATATTCAAAAATATATTATGTTGTGCAATTTATTTATTTAATTATATTCATGAAAATTGGTAATATTCTTCAAGATCAAATATTTGACAATCCGCAAATTTGTTTTTTTTTTTTTTGTTTTTTTTTTTTTGTAAATATTCGGAAAAAATATAAAGTAATTCCAGTTTAAAGTAGATTAAAAAGAAAGCAATATTCCAATTTTTGAAATTAAATCGTATTCTTAAAGGACTTTAATCCGATCTTTCCCCAATCTGCATCCCACATGCCATGTATTAATAAAAAAAAGTTTATATCGATCCGTAAATGAAAAATGAATTAATATACTTTAGAGGTAGATACTTGGGCAATTTATGATTCAAGCTATGCTTCTGTTTCTCTTTTCTACGATTTTTTTTTTTTTTTTTAGTGATTCCTATCTCTATGTTCTACGAGGCAAATCTCCTATTATGTAGATCTATATCACACAGACTTCGAGTCTCTCATCGAACGACAGGTTGATTATCGACGGCTCAATTTCGTATTATTTATTTCGGCGCTTCGTCAATCTCTGTGCATTAATTATTTCGAGAATTGTCAGCTGTCGTCGCGCGAATGCCGACGCGGCGTATAGATATTTCCGTGCGTCACACAGAGCATTGTGCGATGCTTATGTCGGGTCCCCGATTGTTGGCATCGATGGGCTAGGCCATTTTAATTTCGATTGCGCTGTACCGACCTATATGCGTCGGCGGCATAGTTCCCCACGTGTCGTAAAAGTCCGAATAGCTCGCGCGAATCGATCTCTCGTTATTCTCAACGGAGTAATTTCGCTCCGGCTGGTATAACGTGGACTTCCACTATAATTAAATCTCCACGTGTCCTCTGATTGCTTCATTAGCGCATTACTTGTTATTCGTTTCGTCAATGCACAACAACGATTGCGTCTCGTGAAAGAGACAAACAGAGAGACCGACGCAATGAAAATCGACGGCCAAAGAATGATAAATCTCGTCGAGACAACATCAAGGTACAATTGACGAGTATACAATTGACGAGTATACAATTGAATGATATAATTAAAAAGATCAGAAATTCCTCAATCGATTGAATCAAACCAGCTTCAGTAAAAATTGAAAGGTTCTATGCGCGGAATATAAAAACGAAAAACAATTAAATTGACGAACAAATCGTGTATATGATACGGTGAATATTTCAAAAATATTCTAATATCATACAAAATATTTAAGATAATAAATTATTTTTTTTAAATATTTATTAATCAAATTATAAGAAAGTACGAATATCGTAGTCTTCGATTAATCTTTCAGAGCTGAAGCAGTGGTTCAAAATTGGAAACCATTGTCAAGAAGTCTTACATTACTTGACCAAAGTATTAGGCTCTAGCCGATAAACTACATACCGTGTGTGGTGACCAATGGTGAGGCCAGGTCTTGGTCTCGTGACTGCTGCCGACCGATGGTTGACTTGCTAAAAAGACGACCCGTCTGTCGGTGCTACCGGTTCCGGTGCCGCTAGTGGTCAAAAGGGCCGCCCTGGCCCTCGAACCGCCGATGCTTAACGTTGGTGACGTGTCCATTACGCCCTAAAAGCCAGACACGTTACAAGGGTCGTCGAGCCTCGAAGCGAACGTTCGTTGAATCATGGTGAACTTTGTAATGACACAAGTAACCCACTCACTCATTCGCTCGCTCAGTCTTTCGCTCTCCTCTCTCTTTCTCTGATAATAAATTTAAAATAATTCTGTGCGCACGTGTAAACTATTTTAAATTGCATATACGTGTATTTTTATTTTTATTTCTGTGGATAAATTATTTATTTATTTTTTAAAAATAATACTCTTTGCATATTAATAGAAAAAGTTTGCAAGTGTAGAGTTTATTTATCCCGAAATGCAACCATTTTTATTAACATGCAATGCGGCTTGCATAAGAAATACGATTTTATTTTATTTCATCGAGCGGATTTCGAATATTCGCAAGATATATAACGACTTTCAACGAAATTCAATGAGAGTAATGAAGCCTGTTAGCTGGAGGATGAATGCGGCCAAAGGATGCTGAAAACGTGGCTTCCGCGTCGAATGTACCTACTCCTCACGAAAGATTCTTATTAATCCAAGCTTCCATACCCGTGTACTTTGGTATTCATCGGCCATAAGCAACGACTTAGATTTTAATATCAACGAGATTTTACCATGCTACATGCATAATTAATTATTCTACTCGTCTAATCACCCTCTTTGTACTCTTATTTTAATTATTTTGATAATAGATGTTAAATATTAAATAAAACATTAAGCTACATATTTACGAGGTTTTTGCACAAGTTCAACGTTTATACATAAAATATCGAATATTTTAATAATTTTAATATCATCCACACACATGAAGATGTGATATTCATCATATAACACGATCGATACTATATAAATCCATTTTTACGTCTAATTAAGATAAATGAAGAGTAATAAGAGAGTAAAGAAAAGTGTCAAACGAAGTACAAATTATATTCCATTACTTAATTTAAGCGAAGCGCGAGTTAACAATTCCCAGCGACGTTTCTCACCGAGAATCACTGATTTCTTCAAAATTTCATTACCCTCTCTCTCTCTCTCTCTCTCTCTCTCTTTTTAAAATTTTTGTCACGCTTGCGCGACGTGGTCGCGATTCTCGTAAGGGTGGATCGACGTCGTCGCTGGGCATCGTGCAACACGATGATCCCTAACAACCATCCGCTTCCATCGCGAATGAAATCCGTAATGAGCGTAATCGAGCTCGTTAGACCGTTGGGGATGAAAACCCCCGCGAGCCACTCGTACGTCGTTAAAGCCCGCGGAAAATGGAGAGCGAGCACCGGAGAGTATACCCCAACGCGAGGGAAGAAACGCGAAGCACCGAGAGTGAGTGCGTTTTTCAACGGGATTTACGGATCGTCGACGAGCATTAAGAGAAATGATGCGCGACCGCATCTCGCACGAACACGCGACAGACTAAAGAACGGCCTGGAGCCGAGCGGGAAGATCGAAAACGCTATATAATTTCGCTCTCTCATTGTGAGTTAAAATTCTCAAATATATATATATATATCTATAATAATACAGGTCGCATATCACATTTGAGTTTTCATCAGCGCGAATATAAACGTCATTTGTACCGATGTAAAGCACGAAAATGTGAACTCGACTCGTCGGAATTAGAGTGAAATGAGGTATAATTGTAATATTGTGCATGCTATTGAAATTTAGAGAATCCGACAAATCGATAAGTTTTAATAACACGAATCAAATTTTTGTGTAATTTAATATATATGTGCGTAGTTTTCCATTTTATTTGTTAAATTGATGAGTTAGAAAATTGAAAAAACATAATTTATACGTATAGCTTTACACGCTTGAAAATATTTCAATGTTATACTTGTTCATTCTAATGTCGCCGTTATCCTATCGATTTCGTGGAACAAACGAGAAAGTGTGCGAGTAGAACAAAAGCGAAAGATGGAAGACAATCGCTCTCGATGATGATCGTCCTCGTGAAATTGACCCTTACCTTCCAATTGAATCCTTCGAATGCGCCGTGAATGTCGTTGATCTGCGTCCAAGCGTGCTAACGATCAGTCGTTTTGGAAGGAACCATAGAGAGAGAGACGAGAGACGAGAGTTCGTTCGAGGTCGCGTTCGACCACTCACGTATTCAGATTTCAGCCGTACACCCTCGCGTCTCTCGATCCTCCACCTCAACCAGGTAATCCTCGTATAGTCGCGTGCACCTAATCATTATAGCGGAGGGCACGGGTGGCGCTGCTAGGTGTCCCTTAAATCGTTCCAACACGACGTCGGCTCCTCCTCCGCGCAATTACGAGTCATTACGAGCGGGATTCCACCGTGGCAACACGCCGAAGTACGTAGCGCTGGTTATTTACGGCGGCAAAGCGGCCAGTTTTTATTGTCATTCCTCAGGATGATGACGATGACGATGATATTAATCTAACGACAAATTCCCGCACAGGAGGTCGTCCCGAGACGCGACGGTTCGCGAAAACTCCACCTGTCTGCCGGCGTGACGTGCCGAAGAAAGCTGTTGTCAGTCGAGGCGAAGCGGAGCGGCGTTTCCGTCTGACAGCCGCGCGCGAAATCCTGCCACCTTGTGATTTACTATCGCGTGGCTCTATCGCGGCACGAGCTCCTGTTTCGCGGTAGAATGAGTGACAAGCCTCCGAGTTTACCGTGAATCTGCGCTTCGGCCTATATCCGCCGGAGTAATTTCTCTCCCTTGCCGCCAAACGATTTCAATATTACATCCCCGTCGAATTATTAACCGCGCGAACGATTACCGGAATTAACGGAGCAACGTGTTGTGTCATCGTCTCGCGATTCCCATCGTCAGTCGCCTCGTCGTGGCTGCTTGCTTATTAGAATTCGATCTTCCGATCGATCATCGACTCCGCGACTTTTCGTCGCGAGCCACACAGGAGGACTCGATCATGGCCGGTCGGAATTCTCGTCGCGATTCCCGAATTTCAAGTGTCCCAACGTTCGATCTCTATGGTCGATCTATGTCGGGACGAGTCCTGGCACAGTCATCGCTTCGCACAAGCGCCGCGTACGGAATCGCGCACGACACTGAAGCGGCAGGAAGTCTCGCGCTCGAGGCAAACCTCTCGCGGATTCGCGGGCTCACGTGTGAAATTCTTGCGCATGCACCGACGCCTTCCACTCCCTCCCCTCCTCCTCCTCCTCCCCATCCGCCCACCGTAGGCGATGCTCCCCATCTCGTTCTGCCCTTCGGGATCTACACCTCTTCGTTCGTTCTCTCCTCCTTCAACTTGCCCCTTATCGTTTTACCCTTTCTTCTCCCCTCTACTCTTCAATGTCGCTCTCTCTCTCTCTCTCTTCTCTCGTCTTCAGTTCGTCGTCCCATCCCCGTCTCTCGCCTCTTCTTTCTACGTTTCTTTCCCTTCTTCCAAGATAGCTCCTGAATCATGAAGCGACAAGTGTTTGGCGCCAAGGCAGCGCTTGTGCGGGAGTTAAAGAAGTATTTCATGAAGTAAGCGCGAGAGTATATCTCGACTCACAGCTGTGGAAATGGGTAGTATCCTTAATTGGTCCCTTCTCTGCCGTTCGGCAAACGATCGATATCGCGTCGGTAACCTAGGTCAAAAAGAGCAACGGTGGCTTCTTAGAAAATTGATTCACGTTTCTTGCATATCGAGAACGCGCGGAATGAAACTAGGTTTTCTTCACGCTTTTCAGAACTTTGCTCGTTGAACTTTCCGCATATTCAAATGATCCCGACATAATAGCGCGCGCTTTTGCTTTATCTATTCGTTTTTTGTTTGTTTTTGTGTTTTCTTACGTAGAAATTTGCGGTGGATCAAGAACGCGACGTGTAAAAATGTAGAAAAGATGCACGGAACCATATATACGTTTGAAATATTTCGCGCATAGTTTTATACCATTTTCTCTCACATTTGTTTGGTAACACGCAACCTTCGTTTTTTCCTTTTCCGTCGATCTCGTGAGGGGAAAAAAAGGACTCGCGGCTCAGAAAGGGACACGGAAATATGCTAATTCAAGGTACGCTAACCCAGATTCGCAGTGGATCTGAGCAGGAAAAATGGTGGGTCTTTAAACGCGTTTGACGTGAGGTCGGCCGCGTGACTCGCCACAGAACAATTCTGCGAATGTAACTGACGAGCATTGTGTTTCCGACCCAGTTAATGGTTATTTTAACGCAACTCGGGATCACACTCGTGGACTCGCGAACCAAATTCATACGTCGTTATGCTATGAATTATGCACGCAGCTCGATACTCCTGTTCGCATAATCTTCATTCTCTTGTCTTCCAATATTAGAGAATTATACGAGTTATAGTTCTTAGAAAATCCTAAATAAACACGCGACTTTTCCGACCTCATGACTTTACATAATTTTCTATCAATATATCACAATATCTGTATTTATATGTATATTTGTACAATTGTATATTTATCACTTCGAATGCCGAATTTTCCAATATTTTCTAAATTATGTAACTTCTTATTGCTACAATTTTTAGGTGCGCAACCAATTTTGAGCCCGAATTATATAAAATCTTAAATGCCTTGTTATAAAGCATCGAGCAGCTTCAGTCGGGTACCACCTCAGTGGTTTATCGCTCGTTTGAGAATCTTCCTAGGGATGGAAGTAATTTTCTTAGAACTGTGCGAAAGTACCATGGGAATTAAATTGAGAACGGTCCGGTCCGCTTTGACAAATGAGTCGACTCTAATTACCGATACGACTGTCTCGTACATAGGATTATATCCTGAGATGCATCAGCAAAATTAATACCGTTTCCATGATGTAGTTTTAGAAAGCTGAATTATTATACATGAAAAGTAAAAATATATAATAATGAAAAAATGCGTATTTATATTCTGCGTGAAATAAAATGATAAAGAAACAACTTTTGTATTTTGTCGAATGAAAAATCGATTGAAATTTCCAAGAATAAGCGAGGATTGAAAGAAATTAATTAAAATATCAATGCTACAGTCCAATGCATATCTCAATTAGAATTTTACAACATTCACTAATATATTACGCTTACTGTTTGTCGCGCATCAAATCATTGTTTGGACAACTTTTCCTGTTCATTTTCCCGATGTTATAGTTTCTGGCAGTTACACCCTTTTACCTTCAACTTTTCAATTACAACTCGTCAATTACAAGTTTGCGAGTTACAGAATCGCTCGTTGGCGCACACGTACGCACGAATACCATTCGCTAGGCGATTAACTGCAAAACGCAAACGGCGCGCGATTAATCGCGATCCGATGGCGACGTCAAAGCGACGAAGCGGGTAGATCGCGACGAAAACGCTTCTACCGTTCGCCGCAATCGAGACAATGTAGCGTTGCAGCACGGGGATTGGAATTGCAAAATGTAGGATCGATCGGCTATATATACACCTCCTTCTCTCCCTTTGTCTCTGCAATTCGTACAAGCTCATCTTTCCGTCCGCGTCTCGCACCTCGGTTTCTACATATATATCTATCCCTCCTTCGCGTCCTCCTCATTGAATTCGAATTTCCATCGATTCTTTATCGTTCATAAAAAAAAAAAAAAAAAAAAAGTGGCACGAATGGGGAAAGAGTACCACGGTTCCTCGGGCGGACTGGCTGACTGTTTCCCTCACGATTTGTAGTGTCTGCATCTGCCTCAGGAAACGGGTGGAAAAAATGTCAGAGCAAAATACGAGGGGTGTAAAGGAAACGAACGGTCCTACTACAGTATCGGAAAGCGGAAGTATTTTGTATCGATCGCCGGATGTCTCCGGGTGAGGATAATTTGGACGTTTCTTCGACGACGATTTCGCGCCGCGGCTCTCTTGATTCACATATACCTGATATATAATTGCTTTGCAATTGATTATATTTTCTGAACTTAGGCCCTACACCTAATCTATAATGTCGAAATGCAATGCGAAAACACATTTATATTAAAAAATATAAGTAAATAATACAACTTCTTGTCTGTCAATTAATTTTAATTGGCCTATATTTTATTAAGAATTTAGTACAAAAAAACACGCGCGCACATTTTTCAAGATATTTAATATTATTATATAAAAAATGTCTAAGAGATGTGCAAATCTCACCCCTACTAAGAGACTGGGGTTGAGAAACAAGGGTTGTAACTCGCGAATACGTCAAGAACAAGTCGATTAATAAAGGGATGATGGTCCGCCGAATCCGAGGGGATTCTGGTGGATCGTGGCATTTTGACGCTTCGTAAAATGCGATTTTATTCGCGACCGAACAAATTGAAACATAAGCCGTTCCCTATAAGAAGGATCCCTATCTACGGCGCGCGCTTTTTCGTCCCCTATTCGTTTCCCTTACACGTATTCTTCCCAGATATTTTACAGCGGCGACTGAAAACGACGAGAACAAGGTTGCGGCGTTCATGCAAGCGGGTTATCCATGCCAATGCCATTTCGCGAGATGCCGATGTTGTCGATGTGAATTTATCTTGTGTGCCATGCTTCCTCTCTACTCTATGTGTCTCACTTCCCTTTCTTCTGTCGGGCAAAAATTTATTTTTTCCCGTTTAAGCATATGTATAATTCCAGAAGAAAGCACTTAACTGCTTTTATTCAAACATATTTGCTTTTTTATAAGAATCAATATTAAAATCTTACTTTACCTCGACTATCATCTTTTTTAATCATAGTCATATACCTATACTGAATTTATGATCGCGAATTTGTGAACCCATTAATGCAGATTTATATTGTCATAAAAGAGAATATATTACGGAACATTCTATATAACATATTATATATTAAGGAATATTCTATATTCGAGAATTGAAAAGACAATTTTGCTTCACGTCGAATCACACATGTCACGAATAACCTTTTGAACTTGATGAATTACATTAAAATTGTGCTGCTAAGGTATTTTCAAAATTTATCCAGAATTGTTCAAAAATAGAATTTATCAATTTGTATCTCGGCGGCGTACAATGTATCGATTTTTATTGGCTTTTATTGCGTTTAATAAATTTTATTTTAAGCTGAATTTTTTTCATTAAAATTTATGGACTGAGAAATCGGGAGGGGGAAAAATTCGCGGTATAAACACGGCATTCGCGAATAAACGATGTTACTCGGCGAGAAGTCGCCGAATAACGCGGCACAATTAAGAGAGAGAGAGAGAGGCGTTCGCCTCGTGAATAAAAAGCGTCAGCCTGCTAAAAGATCAAGAATTCCCTTGTGTTTCCCGCCGTCTTCCTTTTTATTCACTCGCCTATTTTATCCCGTCTGCCGTTCCATTTCGCGCACACCTTCGCGGCCTCCTTCGAGCGAGCGTCGCCGTCTCCGAAGGGATGGAAGGAATCTAGGGCTGAAAAAAAGTCTGCGAAGTCGGAATGAAGATGCGCTACCGGGATACTCTGGGCAAGATGAGGTGGAGAAGGGGGTGGTATTCTCATTCCGATTCTCCTTTTCCTCTTCGTTCACGGATTGAAGAGGCCTTTATGATGGGGTACCGCTTTATGGCACAGCTTCGCCGCTATTATACGTGCATCGGCCGTTCGTCAAGGAGAAAGGGAAAGAAAAGGAGAATGGGATGCAAGCAGCATCGAGACGTGTATGGTTTTCGATTTCAAGAGAACGGGGCGAGTTTAGTAAGGTGCGGGAGCTGGAGGAAAGAGAGGAAGCTGTGAGATACGAGAAGCGAAAGGGGGCTTCCGGTGAAGAAGGATACGAAAGATGGAGAGAAAGATTGTGCTTTGGACCGCAGATCTATTATCGATATAATGAAGCCAAGGCGAGATTTCTCTCTTTTCCGCACTGCACGCGAGCAGAGAAATGATATCTCGAATGACTGATTGTGCGATTCTTTGGCAGCTGGGATTATCATATAAGTCGCGAAGTCGTATTGTTATGGGAAAGAAAAGGGCAGACAGGGAGAGAATCACGTTTTGACATATCATTAAAATCAGGAACATTATTATATCTATATATTAGAATAATAAGTATTAATACCGCAAATAGAATCTATAAACACGCACGTAATTCTTTTCTTTTTCTCAATTATATTGATGTCCAATTCAAATAAAAAATTTATATATCTCTTCACAATTAATTGTTGATCGCCAGTGACCAAAAACTGGTCGAATTAAATTGCATCTTATTATTTGTTAAAATTTATCATTACTCACAGATTGTCGATATGACAGGACAACTTTCATGTTTCTATTTTTAATTAATGTAATTGCTGAATAAGAACAACACTTGAAAAGGACCACAATGTGTGTCGAAACGGAGTGTGTACTTATTTTCAATAAATGAATAGCCAGTTTTTGGTCGAATTAAATTGCATCTTATTATTTATACATCTCTCTTATATATCTTGGAAATGCCAGCTTAAATGGACGCTTACGCAAAGATGTATATACGAAAGTAGCAAAAATTTATATATATATATATATGCTAAAAAATTCATCCGATTCAAATAAAAAATGTGTTAAAAAATTCGTCGACGAGATATCGCTATGCTCCGAGAGGTAAGCCAAGGTTAAACGCATCACCATCAGTTTTCTCGGCTCGCGTAAATCACGCCGGGGACAGTATTAAAAATATACATAAGTGTAGGAAAAA